GTAAAGCATGACTGAATCTTTTTTAGTCAGCAACAAAGACACCCATTGTATCTGTTCTACATAGGCATGCTGCTATCTACCAGGAAAAGGTAGCAAACTCCTCAGTTTAACCTCACTGAATGAAGCACATTTTAACTGACAAAGAAATATGCTGAGTTATAGGCCAGAAATTGATTTTATGTTTTGAACCTGGCAAAACTCCACACTCTGTGTCTGAATGGTTTCCGTATGTGCATTTAACAGTTAGCACCAAAACAAAATTTCAATTCAACTCAACTCTGCTGACTTTACAAATCAAAGTCTGTCGACAGGTTTTGCAGAGTACTACTCCATGAGTTACAAAAGCTGTGCCAAATCTGATAAAATTGCCTAAATGGATGTCATCGTCGATTGGGGCTACAAGTTTGAAAATGATAATCTGCAAGTGTGCAGTTAAAAGCAGGTGAGTTTATCAGACATCTGTAGTCCAGGCCTCATTTCAGCTTGAGGCTACATTAGCCGCTGCTCAACATACCTAAGTCTCTGACCGGTCTATCGATGGTGTTTTGACAAGGAAAAAGAATATGTGGAATAAAAAAATACAGTACATCTGGTTCTGCTACATTGATTCTGATCCTTTTTTTTATAAGCAGTCCATCATGAGGCTGGCAATTTTAATTAAGACACTACGCGGAATGTCATCCAAACAGTTCCCATGCACACATGGGGGGTCTATTTTAACATTCTGGACAGTCAAATGGGTCAACTGCAGCGTTGTGTATCGTATTAAAGTACAGTGAAACCATGTGAGGTCAAGTGTCTGATTTCTGATGTGAAATACTTATACTATCTCTACTGTAATCTAGTGAAATAGCCTGTTCCCATATAATCTCTTAAATAACACAGTAGTGTGAAACAGATTTTTTCTTACTGATTTTATTATGACAGAAGGTGAAAAACTGAAAACAATTATTGAATGAAAAATCTTTCCTCATTATCATGTCCACTACTGCAACATTAGTATTGTACTGTTTATACAGCATAGCAAACAGCAACAAGCAGTACAACATATTAGAAACTAGACATGAAAAAAAAAATATATCAATAGCAAGAACAGCAGTATCAAACAGTTTCATTTTATCAAATGTTTTCAGTGCTTGGCAAGCTAATCCTTTATTACTCTGCCAGTCCACATACCCAAATTATGTTATCTCTACACCCACACACAAACACACAGAAGCATATTAAAAGTCTATCTGGTCACAATATAAATTTGTGAAAATATGCCATCATGCTATTGCACACAATTTTTACAGCTTTGGCACTTAGATCTCTCGGAGTTAACACTTTATATTCTGTAGAAATAATAAAAAGAGTGCAACAATAAAGTAAAGAATTTGTCTTTGTCTCTTCTTCGGTTTATGGTCTGTAATGACTATGTGGTCGACTGATAAAAAGTAATTCTTTCTTGGCAGACTAAATCATTCAAACCCTTTGGCTTTGGCTGTTCTGCAGAGAGTGCTTTTCTTGTTTTTACAGTACAAACAGCATTAACTTATCTATGTTCCACGCAGTTTCCAAGGAAGCAGTGGCCACCCATATAACAATTCCCGATTAGTTACAGTATAACTAAGTAAAAAAAAAGCTCAACAAAGGTCAACAAAACAGCTCATGGCAAGGCTAAACTAAATGCAACCAAGGCATCTAAAGAAACACCATACTAAAAATACAGTACTCAGAGCACTGACTGTAGAGTTCAAAGCCTGTATGGATAAATGCAACATTATAGTAGCTATAGAAACATTCTGTCACTCTGAATCATTTTGTGTTTCTTAAAACTAATGGCTTACGGTATAATTAGAGTCATTTTACAGGATTCTTGGCAAGTGACAGAAGATTTGGAAATTCTGTAAACGTAATATTACATATGACTGCTTTGTGTTGTTCTAATGGAGAAGAGCAAGTAAGATTTTAAGCACACATTGATCATAACTGTAGGGGTTTAATAAGAGTATAAGTTTAATAAGAGTATTGTGCCGTACCCATGAAATGACTTTTTGCTAAATGCTGACATATTTGGTTTTTAAAATTCATTTTCCATTTTACATATCCAGTGTGATAACTGTGAGACTTTTTCCATTTGACTAAATGTCCCCACTAACTGTTGCTGTGTTACAACCTATAATCTTTTTTTTCGCCTTGCACTGATGAATTACATGTTCTATGTTTCTCTCTCCTCCTGTTCTTATTCGGGTCTGGATTTACCTGAGCTGCAGTCGGATGGAAAGTTTGATTGTGTAGGCGAGGTCCATGCTTGTGATTGGTTCCAAGTTGCAGCCTCCACTAATGTAAGGCGAGCTGAAAACAGTTGTGGGCTTCCTTCTCTAGCCTGGTAGGCTGGGAACTGGAATAGGAAGGGAACTCGCTGATCTGATATAGACCTTCTTCATCATATTGCAAATACTCTAGCCGGCACTGTCTTGAGGCTAACTGGTATAGGGCGTAACCTTTTTGTTTGTACTCTGCTTTTTACAGTGTCTCTTTGTTCTGGAGATAAGGTCAGAAGTTTGTAATTTTAGCTTGATAGGTACGTACACACTGAGGGTTTGACTGGTTTAGTTCTGTTATGTTTACTTTGGCTGCTCCCGCCCTGAACCTAAGCCTACTTGTGCCTACGTGCCTGAAATAAATATAGTGCTTTTAGGTCAGTTGGCGCCTAACTGGGCATTCTTAGAACCAGAGGAAAAGGGAAGTCACACTTTATTATTTTTGCCAAGGCTTTCCCTCAGCTCAGGTATTATGACACAGCGTAACACAGGGGTCTCTAACCTTTGTTAAAGGGGGGGTTCCTAAAGGGAGAAAATTGTCAGAAGGGCAACTCCATTCTTGATGGACATCCATTTACGAACATTTAATTAATAAAAGCAAATCAGCAATGTATTTAAATGTTTTGGTGCAATTGAAGCCATTTGTACACTTCCTTGCAAGCATTTTTAAGATTAAGTTTGCTTTACACTAATACTGTGAGCTATACGCTTTCAACTAATGTTGACAGAGCCTCATTTTAGCAGGTAGCTTAGCCTATTTTTCAAAACAGTGTCCGTATGGGAATCCAATGCCTTTTTTGGATTGATGTTTATGTGGTCAATACCGTGTTTTAACTACTATAAGCAGCAATGTTATCACTACAGTGCAATATTGCACTTTTGATCAAGCAGGCTAAACTATCCTTTTGCTAGTTTTTAGTAGTTTTTAGTTTTTTTTATTGCAGTATATTTTAGTATACTGAAATATATTTCGGTATATATCTTAACAAGTGTGACAATAGTGTATATGCAAAACAAAAGGCTTACTTTACGCTCTTGTACTAGATTCAGTATTTCTCTCAGTCACTGAGACCTTCTTATGTTGCATAACCACTCTCTGGCTTCCTTGCATCTTGGGTGTGGTTGTCAGGGCCTCATTTGACCCTAGAGTACTGCGCGAACCCAGTGAAAGAGTTTTTACCTGAGTACCATGGCCTCTGACCTCCAAACCCTGCTCTGTTGACCCGTGTCCAGTCTGAACAAAGCCCTGTTCAATGTGTGCAACTTGCTCTCCCCCCGAAGACCCATTTTCTACCAACAACACCTGTCTGGACCTGGAGATGGTTCCTTGTGAAAGGCCTTGTGCTACCTGTCCTGTCACCCCACCCATTCCTACTTGCCTATCTACAACGACCAAACCCTGAGAACCTTGGAGGCCACCAACCTGCACCAGCCCCTGACTGAGCCCCACTTGGCCTACTTGACCCGCTGCCTGCTGGGCGCCCCCTGCCACAAACACAACTTGTGGCTTGGGATCTACTACATACATGGGCGTGGCAGCATAATACATAGTGGGCTGCTGTATGAGCAGTGTCTGGCTGGGAATCACTATCTTGTCCTGGACATGTACCTTGGGAACAGCGGCTGAATTGTGTGCTCTCTCAGTAATGCGTTCCTCCTGAATAAAGGTGGAAGATCCAGATGCTACATTGGAGGTGTTGAGGGTGTTGATGTCGACGTGGTCTCTATTCCTGATTGTTTCTCTGTTAGTATGGACGTGTGTGTGGGTGGAGGTGGAGGGCCTGAAAGGAGACACTGGTCTGGGTGCAGAGACAGAAACCCCTGCATCCACAGACTCGGTCACCAAAGTCGACCCATGACAAATCTCAGCCAGGGTTTTGAATTTAGGCCCAAGGTCATTGAGAAATGCAAGGTCATCATCGTTCTCAAGAAGGCTGCAGCAACCAACAGAACCTGCCAGGGACTCCTGACCCTCATAGTCATAGACCAGCAACGCATCCTTCTGCTGGGATTGCTGTGACGCATGGTTGGATTTCTGCAAACAAACAGAATATATTAAATCCATTAAAGTCAATAATACTTAATTGGGACAGTATGATAAAGCTTTTACGTGTCCTAACATATTGTATAATAAAAACTAGCTATGTTCTATATGATAGTTACATTCTATAAGATATATTCTGGGGCCATTCTCTAAGCCTGGTTATCAATCCAGCAATGCAAGCTAATGCTAATAGTTGAAAACTGACTTTATAAAAACATACAAAAAATTCCTAAAAGTTTTTGTTAAGACTTGGATCAGATGTACTCACACTTGAATAATACTCCCCCAGGTACTGGTCCGGTAGAGCCATCCCATCAAAGGCCCCAGCCATGTATCGGGAGAAAAACATTTCTTCTCCTGTCATCATCCCAGCACCAGCGTAGTCCATCTCCACTTTCCCAATGGATTGGTTATACTTGTTATACTGATTGTATAGGTGCATGTTCTCGGCTGTCAAGGTTGAAGTATTCATTCCACCTAAGGCTGCTCCACCACCTGCTGCTCCGCCACCTGCTGCTCCTCCTACTTCAGCCAGTCTTCCGACATACCCCTTTCCCCCAAAGGCGTTGACATTCTTGACATTAATTGTGCCACCATCAACTTCCACTGGGACATGCAGAAGAGGAACTTCCTGTGAGAACATTTTTAGATCCCGTTAAAAGATGCAGCATTTTTTGACACATGTATATGACATATTTTTAAAACTAAAAATATATAAATATTGTATACAGTCCATTCATATGAAGAATACACTAAACAAAGTACCTTATCTTCTCCCTGTCCCTCAGTGTGATATGAGATCAGCTGTTGTTTTGTATCGTTTGGAATGTGCTTGAAATCTCCAGTAGCTGCTGCACCTCCACACAGGCAGAACAGCAGCAGGAGGGGCACCACTGAAACACATATTTGACATTATGTCAGCAGAAATTCTGATTAAAATATACTTGTCAGGACAAATTAAGTCCAGTCATCAGTCAATGAATTACTTTCAATTATTAAGTGATAAAAAAAATTGTGTAATGAATGCTAGAGATAAGAGAATATGCTACAGCATGTCTGATTAGGCAACTCTGTAGGGGAAAAATAATCATTCTAGTCCAAATAAACAGAAAAAGAAAAGCCAGTAATACTCTACTCACACAGAAGAAGCAGCAGTCCCAGGAGCAGAAGCAGTATACCTGAAGCTCCAAAACCAGAAGTCTTTGTACTGCGCGCCACACAGGTTTTAGTCTCTTTATGGCAAGTACACACAATTACTTGCATCGTCTGAAAACTAGCACATGCATATCCCTGCTGGTCTTTGACTTCCATTGTCACTTTGTAAATGCCTGGCCACAAGTTGTCGTTGTCCCTTAGAATGGTTGTGGTTTCTGAAGAAAGATGAGACTACATTTTAAAACGTGCTACACGAGTTATGTTAGTCTGTTTGTGCCTTGTAATAAATAGTAATGCATCCTTTCTTTTTACAGAACTGATAGACTCAGATGAACCTTTTTCATGACAGTTATTTACTTGTCAAGGCAGGAAAAGCACAGGTGAGGCTGAGGTTGGTTCAGTGATATAATACAGTACATGTGATGCAAACTTACCAGTTTGAACATGTTTGTGCTATGCATACAAATTTACCAACCGAATCCAATGAAATGAACAATAAAAAAAAACTATGCAGCATTGAAATAATCAACATCTGCTTGCGAGTCTTTGGAAATCTAATGTTTGACGCAAATTTCATATTATGATGGTTTGCAGGAAATGTGTCAAGCTGTTGTATATCTATTGTAATCTTACCATTAAGTGGCTCCACTGTCCATTTCCCCTTGCTGCTCCCTGGAATCACAGTGAACTCAAATGGTTTTGAATTGGGGAAATCATCTTTGTCTTCGGCTGTGACGTAGATGACAGTATCCTCAATGCACTTGGTCTGAGTTGTAGTAGTCAGCTTAGGACAGTCATCATTATAGTCCTCGACCTGAATGGCTATAGTCCCTGTGGCAGTTTTTGCCGGAATATCTAAAAATCAATCAAATTAGAGGTTATTATTAATCTGTTGTGCACCATATAAATCCACTGGAGAACAATATCATACAGAACTCACCACTGGTGATGCATATGATTTTGGCATAATATGTTCCGTTGACCAAGTACTTGGACTCTCTGTCAGGTAGTTTATTCAGCTTGATATCTGCTGTCTTTTCATCAACAATCAACCAGTGGTCAATATCGTAGATTTTGGCATACCTACGAATATGAAAATCCACAGGACAAAAATAAGCTATTAATGTACATACATCCATTCAGAGACACAAAGAGAGGTATCTATACATGTGCCGTTAAGCAACATTTTCACCATGTGGCTGTACCTTACGTTGGTGGCTGTCTGTAGTGTGTCACTGTCAATAGCAGCGTAAGTGGTGATGATTTTGTTGAGAAAGACGGAAGTGTGGCTCTCAGAGACAGACACTACTTTGACACTTGGATGAAAACGGGGGCCTTCCTTCTGATTGACCACATTAATTTTAACGGGGTAGGCTTTGGTGGTTATGACCCCTGTCGTGGACCCAAAATTGTACTGCGCTTTGTTGCGAACAACCACTTCTAAGTTGAGTACCTTTAATTCCTCATAGTCCAAGGCCTGCAGATTCAAGGATATAGCGTTCACATTAGCCTTTGTGTTCACTGAATCACACACATTCATTTAACTGTTTTAAATGTTAAGTCCATCAAAATAAGAATCTTTTACCTTCTGAATCATGATAATTCCCTCATTGGTCTTAGAATCAGTAGTGACAGTGAAATAGCCTGCCTCATTCCCTGAAATGATTTCAAAGACAGCCAGCCAGTTGTCAGTGTGAATCAGGTCCATGTCAATGGCTTTGATCCTCATCACTTCCACATTGATGGTGTTTTCTTCCACACTCCCTTCATACTGCAAATAAAACACACACCAACAGTTGCTTTAGAACAACTTTCAAACATGATCACAGAAGCTAGATAATGAAGAATAAAAGTGTTGGTCCTGGTAATTGTGTCACACCTACCGACTCTTTTTCCAGGGTTGGAATATTGTCATTTATGTCCAGAATTTTAATTACAATTTCTCCGGTTCCTGTGTTTCCTCTCGAGTCCCCATTCAAGTCTACGCCTTTTATAATCAACTTATATGTATCTTGTTTCTAAAAAAAAAGTAGATCGAAGATACAATGCAGTGATTAATACATTCTATTTTTTTTTTTTCCAGTCAAAGATGTTTAACTAATATGAACATGCATCTGCCTAAGAACTTGTGAAATGTGTCTTTCTCATTTACTGTCAAGTGACTCACCTCCCTGTCTAGAGTGTTCTGTTTAACAATGACCTCTCCAGTGCGAGAGTTGATTAAGAACATCCCAGCTAAGTTGCTCTGCTCCACAATGCTGTAAGAGATCTGGGAGTAGGACGTGTTCTCTGCATCAGCATCAGTAGCTATCACTTTCATGACAACAGTACCTAGAAATCATGAATGAAACAATACACCAGTTCAATGAATACACATAAAAAATACTTTGCCATGTTAGAAATATACTGTAGATATCTTAAAATACCTGTTGCACTTGATTCATTGACATATCCAACTTGCTGTGCTTTAATGACCGGTGGGCAGTCATTGTCATCTAAAACAGTAATTCTAAGGTCCAAATTCTTTTCAGCTTCCGTCCCATCGGCGTATTTTGCCATACCTATTAACTGCAAAAAAAGACATCACAACTACTTTACCGTTTCCTCACTGTACAACAGGCATGGCTGTAAATGCTCTAGATTTTAAAAACAGGATGTATACAAGACATAGATTTTACATGATAGAAGGCGATTTCCTCTCTGTCCAGAATGGAGTAGATTTTCACATAACCAGTGTCACGGTTCACACGAAATCTGCCTATCGGGGGTTGGTCAACACCAGGCCCACTTAGATAGTAATATATCTTTGTGAAGTTCTCCTTATCAGAGCGAATCTGAAAAACAAATACAAACACGTGAATCCACCTGATTGGGAAATACATATAATATAATATAACCTTCCAATTAGTACAACTTATTTACTCTAAAATAATATACTTCACTGAATGTCAACCAGATCATGTGAATGCAAGCAGGGGCGTGACATGTATACAAAGGTGTGTGGCATCCAAACTTTTTTTGCTCTGATCAGAACAACCACTCACTGATCTGCAATACTGATCTAACTATCTGAGATATGAAACTAGATAAGCAGGTAGTCAAACCTCAAACACAGGTGTGTGTGTTCCAGTTTTAAAACAAAGGTTTGTCTGAACTGACTCTTTATTAATATTAATATGGAAGTTTGTCAGTATCTGCGGAGCTGATCTCACACATACTAACCACACCTCGAAAGAACAGAGGTGGTCTGAGGATACACAACAGGGGGAGCGCAAGTGAAAAATGTACTGGACAACAATGTAAATACTTTGAGGAACGTTGCTGTACCTACGTTACATATGTCTTACATAATATTAAGTTTTAGTAGAATTGTTTGGACCGAAATAGAACAAATAAGTACACACTCTAGCAATATACTCCAAGCCGGTGTAATCGTTGTTCTCTTGCAGTTGCCTGGGAGCCACGATCCATTCTCTCTTCTGTCTGTGTAATTGGGGGCCATTTCCTTCGGCCCTCACAGGAACAAGCTGCAGGTAAACAAAGAGGGAGGAAAAATTGTATCATTAATAATGTGCAATTGCAAACTCATGTGGCATATTGTTGCTGATGACTCCCACACACGGCATTAGTTCACACATTATTTCTTTACATCCCAGGGTTATTCAAGTTAAAAAAAACAACCCTTACAGCAAATGTATTATTTTATTGTCGTCAATAAAAAATAGGCATTCCATCAATAAATGAATAAATAAATGTAGGCCTACAGTTTGTCAACCTCTCTTTTACTTTGCATTTAAAGGGGGAAATCTCTAGAACTTAACACGATGGAACTTTTTTTTTAATGTCACTATCCGTATTACAATCTCAATTGTGTCAAAGCTTAAAACCTCCGCTATAGTTAGACTTCCTCTAAAGTGTTTTTTCTCCACATCTAGCACTTTAGGGAGATCACTGTGGAAAAGCTGCTCTGCTGGAGAGGAAATAAAGAAAGAGCTGTTCCGTGACTGCGCAATAACTTTTAGAACTTTTCGTTATAATCTTTAACTGCCTACCCCGACCGTTTAACTTTGAATATACAGACAAATACATCCGATGAGCTTAACAGCCCACCAGAGAAGAGCCACACCTGTTTAAGATCGGCTATTCTACACCCGATAATGGACATCTAACAATAAACAGCGCAAACGGAATTTGTTATAGCCTACTTACCGTTAGTAAGGACGCCAGTAGAATAAAAAAGCCGCATTTCAACAGTGGAGCCATCACCCCGAAACAAATATATGAACTTGTTAAAAACTTGTTAAAACTCCTGTTGAAGTGAAATCGCGTCAACTTGACTGTATCTCGACTCCCTCGCTGGTGCAGACTTTGACCCTGTTGAGGGGCAGGGACTTTACAACAATAGGCGGTTCCTCTCTCAGTTTCACTGCTACTCTGATAAGGAGAAAGTAGGTGGTGCGTCCACTTTCTGCATAGCTGTAATGTCTGTATTGCTGAGGAAAATCAGACTGGTTTCAGAGGAAATCTCTCCACAATTGTTTCCAAAGTGTGTCCAAACTAAGACAGACATGACTTTATTGTGAATCTGGAGTGACAATGCGCAAAGTGTTCATGTTTCTGGGGGATAAAAACTGAGTTTAACAATTCATTTTGACTTTTGTACTCTGGGATTAAGAATTTATTTATGGTGGTGATACTCAGAATAAAAAAATAAAAAATAAAAAAAATGTATTGGAGTTCTTTTAGTCCAACCTTCGCACTCATCTGTAAAACTTCACCTGTACATGTGAAATTCCCAAGAGGTTCACTTGTGTTTCTGGGTTCAACACTCCTAAACATTAAGCTGCACACTGGGCTCTCTCTGTGTGTGTGTGTGTGTGTGTGCATGTGGGCATTTGTAGAGAAAAAAAAGATAAAGGCACAAAATATTGGCACAATGAGTTTGTGTTGCCAAGTTAAGGTCAAACTTTCACTCCCGTGTCCAAAGGTGTGTGGGAGAAGAAATACAGTATCACTTTGATCTTTCCTTATCAGACCATTAGTTTCTAAGCTGGAATTTTGACATGGTATTGTGTCACATTTGACTGGAAGCCTGCAATGCTTTTAATTCTTTATAGTCTTTTTTCAATCTGTCTCTAACAGCAATATGTGCCCAAAGGCGACTGGGTGGTTTCAGTGGTAGCATAAATGAGTCACGGCTGTTGTGTGAGACAGAAATTCAAAAGTTATTAATTCAGCACAGATTTGACAGAAATTGCAATGTTCCAAATGCTGCAAATGACCCAACAAATATTTAGAATAATCACTTTAATTTGTGTTTATCACATTCTGAAAATGCAGCAGAGTATGTTACATAAAATGTTGCATGAACTGGGTGTGTCATATATGACAAAATGTCTGACGTTTGTTAGTATTTCTATATGGCTTAGTTTACATTCGCAAGTTTAATAAATGTACCTTCCTAAAACTAATGCAGTCCAATATGACAGCTCTCCAATAAATCCTAGCTTCATGAGGTTATAATGGTCAGTTTGTGTGGAAACTGTTTTAGAGAAGTGTTAATTCAACTTCAGCTGGTCATTTGGGAGGCTGTTTCTAATATCTCGTCCATTTATGTATCAATGAGGGTAAACTACCTGACACCGATCAGTATGTCAGAGTACAATTCAATAACAAAACTTGAGTCAACGCCCCTCTAAAACACTTTCAACAAAACTTAAACATATACTTTGTAATGTTTGATGTGATACATTTCAATACGGCCAGTATTATAGGTCCCACACTGATAATCACACATTAGGCACGTCATTCTCTAAAACAAAAACCCTGAGCAATGTTTCTCAACTAAATATGAACCATCACATATGACATGCATGCTCCACCCTGCCTTCCGTGGCGCTCACCCAAACGGGAGTGGAGAGAAGGGTGGAGTAGTTTACGTCACTGTCATAAACTTACAGTAACTGTTACACCTTTGAAATATGCAATGTGAAATGTGCTGTCGTCAGATTGTTGTCTTCATGCAACAGATGTGCTCCAAACTGGATTTTGCAACATCTTATTGATTCACTGAAGTACCTGGGAAGAAGCATAACATTATTAAATACATATTAATAATTTGTATGACATAGAGACACATTGTGCGTAACTCCTTAGACGTTCAAAGTTATGACACAAAGGTCCTCTTGAGAAATGAATGGCTTCAAACTGTACGTCTCAGCAGAAACATTAGATTATTCTTTGTTAAAGACAGGACCTAATATTTTGGACAGTGTGGGAGATAGAGAGATTAAGTAGAAATATAACAAGTTTATCTGTTCATTCGTATACTGTGTTCTCTGTAAACACTCTGCAACAACAATCTGCAACAATAATTCACTTTCATTTTAGCTTGGGAGTGACAAGAGGGTATTTTGCTGAGTCTGTTTCACATTTTGTGTTCCAGCCCGAAGCCCTTTCATTACGTCCACGCCCATGACTCCCAGCAGCAAAGTCTTCCTGACATTTTTCTCACCTTTTCCTGTTGCAGCCCCACATCGCCTCACTTCCCAGTGCACTTTTAAAACCCCCATTACAGTAGGTCCAAGTCGGACACGTTTTAAAGGACACGGGCCCAGTGTTGCTGGCTCTGTCCACTCTCACTTTTTATCAGGAGTTTATAGAGATAGTGAGCGTTCGCTGTGGGACTGGAGCCTCCCCCACACCAGGCTCCATTCAGCACACATTCCTGCGGTGTTAAGTGAAGAGCCCAGTTCTGTTCTTCCTACCACAATGCTTCAGTGGAGCTGTAAGAGGAGAGAATAGGGCCATGCAGGGGTCAGTCTCCTAGAGACCCGGAAGACAGTTCGCAGACCAGATAGTCTTTAAAAAAAGATAGATAGATAGTTGAAAGGACATGCACACTTTGTGCTTACACACCTGCTCAGAGAGAATACAAACTAACATAATATTTCTACGACATTGTAGTGCTTTTTAAAAGGCATTCGTATATCATATGGTAAGGTACAACAATAACTGTTACGTTGGCAACTAAAGTGTTTTTCTTGTTTTTGATGTGTTGCAACATTCTCAAAATTACAGAATGACTTGAACTGAACGAATCTTTAAGCAATGTTTCCCCCTGCTGGCAGAAACCAACATTTTATTAGCAAACTTTCGGGGAGTTGTCCTGTAGGAGTTCAGCGGAATATTAAGCCCTTGCTGCCTGAAGGTGCCTCGCCTGCTGATCCTACCAGGGAGGCTCGCAGTCTGGGTGTGTCCGTCTGTCAAGGTGTGTCCGTCTGTTGAGTCACTGTCGGTAGCGACAGATATCCGAGCGAAGTGTGGGAATAGACGACTTTCTTCTTTTGAGCTTTTAACTGAGACGTTAATACATCATCTGTCACTTTCCTGTCGGTGACCGTCCAGCTTCCTCCTTACAGACCGGGACGAAGGTTTATCGAGCAGTTTTCGTAAAAATGGCGAATGTTTTAATTTTCAACATCTGCCTTCTGCTGGTGAGTGCTCCCCCCCCCTTTTTTTTATTGTATATCCTCTGTGGTGAAATAAAAGTCCTTATCGATACAAATGTAACGTCAGGCCATCGTGTTTAAGCTTTTACCTTCTGTTTTTTTTTGTCGATATTTAAGAAGAATGTTTGTTATAATGTAATAATTTGCTGTTAAATGCTCGCGAACTCGTTATTAGTGGTCTTTTACGCAGTCTTTTATTCGATAAGCATTTTTAAAACTGAAACTCATTTACTGCTTCAGATCCTGTCCCGTGTGGAGTCCTGTTTTATCCCGAAGTCTATACATGTACAAGTGCCCCAAACAATTCAGGCTGGATACCATATCACAAGAGGTACTTAAACTGTTTATGCCTTCATTAACTCTTTAAACTTTATCGTTTACAGTTTCCTATTACAGTTTGAATTCTTTGGCTTTTGTTTAATAACTATTCCCCCCTCCCTTATCTTTCCCTGTCTCCCCTTTCACGTCAAGTCGCCGACTGTGACACCAAATCAATGCACCTAACATCGAAGGACCCGAGTTTCATAGTAGAACCTAATGGAGAAATAGTAGCTTTGACTGCTGTGTCAGTGGCAAGTACAGGGCGGACATTTTCTGTGTGGGCTCAGGACAACAGTGGGTTGGGAAGTGAGATGGAAGTTCACCTTGTCCGCAGCACAGTGCAGGAAAGAAAGGTAAGATTGTGCGCGCTTGTGTCCCCTTGTAAAGTTATTGCACCTTTCTTGAAAATGTCTTGACCTGTTTGGCATGTCTCAGCAGACAGGCCAAGGCTTCCTGAAGCGCTCCAAGAGACGTTGGAGTCCTCCACCCTTCAACATATTGGAGAATGATAAGGGGCTCTTTCCAAAAAACATTGAAAAGGTAATCTTAGCCCTGAGAATATAGGCTACTTTAGCATATATATTTAAGATCTATTTAAGGTCTTTATTGCAGCACTCACCATACAAATTCTCTTAATTTTCTTTTTTTTTTAATCCTCTCCAGATTTTGTAATTCACAAACCCAGGCACACCTATTAATGACATGTGTTTCGGCTGACTTTATGTCTTAATTAATTTCTGTGCTGTGTTTATGCCTTCATTACAAGAATGTTGGAACTGTCTACATTTGATAGATAGGTTTATAGATAATCTGTGTGAGCAATTGTGTGAGCAGTTTACATGTGTGTTTCAGTAGAATTATTTGGTTTCTGTTGTAGATTGTATCAGATTCGGCATCCACACGTAAGGTGTACTACACCTTTAGTGGACCTGGTTACGATAAGCATCCAGTGGGAGTGTTCGATCTTGACCGGAACACTGGGATGTTAAGCGTGAACAAGCCAGTCGATCGTGAGGAGTTCCCGTCATTTACAGTGAGTGTGAAACAAGGCTGCAACCAACGATTGATTTCTTTTCCTTATCAAATCATTTTGCCATTTTGGTCTTGGTCTTTTGTCTGAACCTTAAGTGGAATAATACACATTTGAAAATAATGTACATCTGTTTAAAAGGACTTTACATTACTAATCTGGCATTTATTCTGTGTTGTACCTTCACACACGTGTAAATTGACTTTTTTCTTCACAGCTAACCACTAACGTTCACGACTTTTACACAAATGAGCTGACAGACTTACCTTTGCCCATCACCATAATCGTTGACGATGTGAATGACAACGCTCCGACATTTACAGACCGGCTGCAGTTCTCTGTGCTCGAGCGCTGCAAAGCAGGTGAGGAACATTAAATACAGAAATCCTGCGGCATTTGACCTTTAGCCTGGGGCTGCAAATAATGATCACATTCTCAATTAATCAGTTAGTTTGTTTTCTTTGGTCCGTAACATGTCAGAAAATGTTGACTAATATTGATTGCTGTTTTTCAAGGTGACGTCCAAAAATGTCTTGTTTTGTCCGCAATCCAAAGATATTCAGTTTACTGTCATAGGGAACTAAGGAAACCAGAAAATATTCACATTTGAGAAGCTGAAAAGAGAGAATTTGGATTTTTTTTTTATCTCAAAACAATTAATTATCAAAATAGTTGGCAATTAATTTAATAGTTGACAAACAATCGATTAATTGACTAATTGTCGTATGCTACTACTGGCTGATGATTAACTCCATGATCATGTTTTACACCACAGGTACAGTTGTGGGGATGGTGAATGCTACAGACAGAGACGAAGAAAAAACCCTCCACGTCAAGATCAAATATAGTCTGCTGGACGGATTAGACCTGTTTTCCATCCACCCAGAGACAGGCGTCATCACCACAGTAACGAACAGCCTGGACAGAGAGGTGAGCACAGGCGCCATTGTTTTTACTCTGAAATATGAGTCAGAAATCAGATGATACAGATAGCTTATTTTGGTCTCTTGCCTCACCTTAGAATGTTGTTTATCTTTTTTCATATCATTTTGTCACATTTTGTTCTTTAGGTAAAAGACAAGCATATGGTGACAGTACAAATCAAAGATATGGACGGTGCAAACAATGGTCTGTTCAACACAGGAACAGCAACCATTACTCTGGCTGACATCAATGACAACCCACCGACTTTCACAAAACCGACTGTAAGTGATTAGCAGTTAGACACCTTGAAATAACATCTTAATGTTTTGTGACAATAAAATATAACAATTTTCGTAGTCTTTGTTATTACTGTACATGGGGTCAAACAAGTGTGTAAACTTTTCACTGAAACACTGGTTGTCTATGTTAAGTAACACACTTTTTGTTTTCTTCAGTATGGGGTCACTGTCGCTGAAAATGAAAATGAAAAACTTATCCTTCGAATTCCCGTTGAAGATAAGGATTTAATCAACACACCAAACTGGATTTCTAAATTCGTCATCACGAAAGGAAATGAAAATGGCAATTTCAGAATGGCTACTGACCCCAAAACAAACGAGGGGCTTCTGTATGTCTCGAAGGTGAGTAAGCAAGAAATTAGTAGTAGTACAACTAGGCCTATAACACAGTGCTGACAACAGATACACATTTACAATACACTCCCTCTCTGCTTTTCCAGGCCTTGGATTATGAGCAGAACCAAAACATAAAGCTTCAGATTGAGGCACGTAATGAAGCTGAGCTGAGTAACACCAATGCCCAGTGGCAGTCCATCCCTGTGGATGTCGCTGTCACCAATGTTGATGAGGGTCCACAATTCACAGCTCCTACCGTGCGATTCCCTGTCAAAGAGAACGTACCAAACGGCACACTGATAGGAATTTACAGAGCTGTAGATCCCGAGACCAAGAGCAGTGACGGCATCATGTAAGCTATCCTTTATATTTCTCTTAATTCTAATTATCTTCTAGTACACCTTATAACAGCAGGAAATCCCCAAGACCCCAACTAAAGTTTTTGTTACGTCTCTTAAACACTGGAGGGCAGACTTTCACTGCTGAATGGAAGAAATGTGCTACTAAATACACAAGTACTTCTTCCCACTGTCTCTCAGGTATTACAAGGTCACAGACCCAGCCTCCTGGATCAATGTCGACAGAAATACCGGAGAGCTGAAGGTTGCAAACACAATTGACAGAGAGTCATCGTTCGCCCAGAATGGAACGTACATCATAACCATGAAAGCTGTTGATGCTAGTAAGTTGCTTGGAAATTCTGTATATTTCCTTTTCCTTGACTTCTGTAAGCCATGCAGTTATATTGCTCAGATAAAAACATACGGTCAAGAATATCTCTTGTGCCTCCACAATTCTGCTGAACCTTATATCTACTTCACCGGTAAAGAGATCCCAGGCTTCGATACTGTGCTGTTGCTCTATCTATTCATTCACTCACTCTGTCTGTTGGGTTTGCCAAACCACAGTTGTCATGTGTGTTGTACTCACGTCTTAAAGCACCAGCTCCACCCTCACCAGTATCTGCCTGAACAGCGAGTTAGTTCCTTGCTTTGTCTCACATGAGAACACCTGTTGATCGAAAATAATGCAACTAGTCATTTGCAGTGATTCACAGTTCGCTGGTGTGACAGCAAAAGTTGGGCTCTTGTCCTAAATGCTTGTCAGAATTTGATATTACTTGTTGACTGATGCCCAAGTGATGGGTATTCTGCCAACTGTCGTAGGTCTAACTTGTTTGTCCTCAGTACTGACATGTCCTCATTCATGTCCTCCACAAAAGTAATAATCTAGTAATGATGTATTTCAGGCTCCAAGACAGGCACAGGAACAGTCATCCTTGTGGTGGAGGATGAAAACGACAACAAGCCAACACTCCCTAGCAAGATTGTGTTGTGTGAGAAGGAAGGAGAGCTTGGTTCTGTGCTGGTTGAGGCTGAAGACAACGACCAGCCTCCATTTTCTTCCCCCTTCAGGTTTAGTTTGCCACCTGATAATGATGGCAAATGGTCTTTGAAACCTTTCAATGGTAGGTGGTTGAATTTTTACCCATTTTATCTACTTTAAGGAGTGAAGTCTTTTCAACAGAATACAAAACGTTTAAAGGAACAGTTGGGATAAATATTTTTTTCTAACTCAGTTACTCACACCATGTAGTCCAGGATGGTGACTATAGTTGACTGGAGAAATACAGCAAAACAACAGCAAAACAATATGTAATATAAAGATCTGTAAGAAATGTTCCAACTACTCACACAACATGACAAGTCTCAGTTATTCATTTCTCCCCCCAAAAAAGTTATTTTTTTGTTTCGTTTTTTAGTGAAAGCTATCAAAATAAAAACACTAACAAAAAATCTAACAGAAGCGTTTCAGGCCAGTGAAGGAGCCAGGGACGGGGCTTAGAGTTTGACTGAGAATTTATTTTATTTTTTTCTGTGGTGAAAGAAGAATTTAGAACAGGGCCTGCCAGAATCACCCAGAAATGACAGTTCCTTGTTGTTGCTTTAAGTAAAAGTACAGCCATAAGTGTGCTGCAGCAGAATGACCCTGGTAGTTTACTTTGGAACAATTTATCAGTTTATTATGTTTTATGTTTTGTAACTAGAGTTGTCAAGTTTAAGTAAAGTAAATCTTCCTCTGAAATATAATTAAGTAGAAGTATAAAGTTGCAGAAAATGTAACTACTCACGTACAGCACAAGTACCTCAAAATGTTATATTATTTATTAAAATGTAACTTCTTTCCAGCACTGGAAATATATCAAAAGATAAAAGAAAGAAAAGAAAAAAATATGTTTTTTTAAGGTGTTCCCTGTTTCTAAAGTACTGCAAACATATCTTTCGTACTGTACAGTTACCTTTTTAGGGGACATATTTGCTGATATGATATACACGCCGATCAGCCATAACATTATGACCACCTGGGCACCTTCATTTTGCGTTGCTGTTTCTTGGTGAAATGTACGTCCCCTCATGCCTTTTAAACGTGTTTCCTCCTTAGACACAGCAGCTACGTTGCAGCAGCTCAAAGAGCTTCCTACGGGGTTACACGAAGTTTCCATCGATGTTAAAGATCTGCAGGGCAATGGTGGCATACAGAAGACGAACATAAAGATTTGCCAGTGCAGAAATGGCGCCTGCTTGAGCAAGGACAAGGCTGTGTCATTAGGGGGACTGGCTTTACTGGCCATGCTGTTGCCGCTGGCCCTCCTCCTACTGCTCTGTAAGTCCCCCACTGCTACACTGTTGCCAGCCGAATTGTGTAGGCTACACTGTGTAGATAATGAAACAGGAATTTTGTGCTCACGCATGTGTGAAAGCACAAGAAGACTGATAGAAAGTTAGAAGTTGTTAGAAGTGTCACTGAATTATGCATTGTGTATCTGGTACTGAGCAATGATTCGTGGTAGTATTAGTAAGTGTATAATGTCATTTTGCTCACTCTTGTGATGCCTACCACACTTGAAGCGCTTTTTATAAAATGCTCTCCTTGTGCACTCATTTCTAACCTACCTGATTTTTTTTTATTGCAGGCCTACTGCTTGCCTTTTTCTGTATAACAAAAGGAGACAAGCTTGAAATTGATGATGCAGGAGACAGTGGTGGAATCCTGCTCAAATCAAACACTGAGGCCCCAGGGGAAGAAGTGGTAAGGACGTAATAATGAAAGCATTGCCTGGGCTCATAACCTTGTAAAGGAAGCATTTTTGTATCTTTTTTTTCTCTCTCATTTGCTTAATTCATGAAATATTTGCTTGATTTTGTTGTTGTTTTGTTGTCTTCCTCTGTAGGATTCAAGTCTCATCAATGTTCCCACTATGTTGGTTGACCAAGCAGTGAAGGGCTCAGTGAAGGGTTCTGGGCTGAACGCAGGATGGCTGGGGAAAAAGAGCTCCAGCACAATCGGAGTCAATAGCACACAAGAGAATGGGATTTATAAGTCCGGTGTTGTCACAGACGATATGCAACAGTTCTATTCGAGCCAGTATGATAGCCAGTATGGTGCTCAACAGTTTAATGGAGGCCATCTTGTTGGTAGCGGTATGGACTTCCACCATCAGTACCTCATTCAGGACTCAGCTCTCCTTCAGAACTGGCAAACAAATGGCCGCTATCTGGACCAGGTAATGTTTTGTAGTTTGTAGTTTTGTAAGCATGTTCATATTTTTAATGTATATAGAACAACATAAAGTTTAATGTCTGAGAGCGGAAGAGTAGAAGAATGTGGCGGAATTAAATCCGTCCGAATGTGTACACCTCACATTCTCTGAGGTTTAATAACTTATTGTTATCTGTAGGAGCTTAGGAAACTCTCATGTGTAATATAATCTTGTTCTCTAAGCCGTGATAGTATCCTCTGTAAACTTTAATATTTCCTCAGCTTCTTGGTGAGAAATATTATTTCTCTAACTTGTTGGTGAGTTCTTTGTTCGCTGTGTAATATCTAACTGCCCGTCATATCCTGAGCGGCAGTTATCACATGGCGTAGTATCTCCCCTCCTATTGCTCAGAGTAATAACACGCTTCCTGTCCCTTCCACTTGGTCTTACAGAAGCTGACCTTGCTCGGATCAGAGGGGGACGGACGGTATGCCGACGACATCATCCACGCCTACGGGTTTGAGGGGGTAGGCTCCGTGGCTGGCTCCATCGGATGCTGCAGCGAATATGACGACAAGGAGAACCTTGACTTCCTGAACACACTCGGACCGAAGTTCAACACCCTGGCAGATGTCTGCAAAAGCACATGAACAATGAAGTTTAAAAATAATGGTGTTTACTTTTCACTGTACAGGATGTTGTGAGGCCTGTGATCTAAATGCTGGATATGCCCCTGAACATGAATGAGTCAAAGAACAAGCAGGTGGCGTCAGTGTGCGTGCAATGCTCTGCTGTTGCTTCTTATTGTTTTTTTGTTTTTTTTTTGCTGCTTTTTGGTAAAAGTCTTTTGCACTGAAAACTGCAGATGCATTCAGTTGTACATACTTTGTGTTGTGTATTGTGTGTTGTTTGCCTTTAGAGTCTCGGTCCCTCACATTAGCTATGCCCGCTTATCCTTTTAGAGGGTGGCGGGGGACTGGTTTTGAAGGTTCAATATGATATATTGATATATGCAGTAAAGGGCCGTAGGGTTTTCTGTCAATTAGTAAGAACTTCGGGTATTTTGGTTATTTCTGATGATGTTCATTTGTGCATTTGTGCGGCTGCGTTTAAAGTTTTGATATATTTTTTAAAGAAAAATAAAACCAATAAATGAATTAAGACAATAAGAAAACTGCCTTTTCAAATATTTCAAATGAAAATACTTCCTTACTGAATACATGCTTTAATCATGTAGCAGTTTTAAACAAAAGCGTTGACTGTCTTCCACTGGTTTTCCAAATCACACAGTAATTATCTGTGCAAACACATTCCAAGGCGGCTCTTGACCGTCGAACGGGCGTGGTTGCACTCTGACAGTAATCCTGTGAATGTTCACAAGGGCGTGAGTGGGAGCAGCAGGGTATTACTGACACTGCCTGCAACTGTCTGAATACAAGAATGACTAGATAGAAGAAAAGCTAAGCATATAAAAATGCCCATGAGTCGGTTAATGAAAGGGAATCTGACATTTGTATGTGTATATTAAGTAATAAGTATAGAAGTTGTTGGAGTTGTAATTTTGCATGGTCATTAAAGAATGTTTCTCATGAACCTGTGCTGCTGTAACAGATGTAGTTTTATAGTCTCAATTTAATTTATTGGAAATGTATTTTTAAAAAATAAAATCATTTGTTATTGAGCAGACTATAAGCACTTGTAAGTTAACTGACTTAACCATATGCATAAAAGGCTTTGCTTACTGGTGAGTTCTCATGCTAGAGTATGCGTTTTACAAACATTAACTTGTAAAATAAAAAAAGCTTAGTCGTACTGTTTTGACTTTGTACTTTGAATGGTAAACTGAGTACTAATGCGGAACAGTTGTTCATTGTACTCGGTCTTTGTGTGTACTGTGGTGAATGATTTACCGGGTGTGGCACTTTGAGCTTGCACATTATGAAGGACACAGTGCTACAGCTTCTGGCTTCTATCTACCTCCAGTCTTCTGCAGATCAAGTTGGTGAACTTTAACACACAATACCACTGTGCCTTTCTTTAATATCCACATTATCCACATTACTCTACGCCAGTAGTGCTCCACCTGTTGCCCCAAAGCTTAGTAACATAATTGGGCCGAATTAACATCACTTTGAATTAATTACTGATAACATATTTGAAATGGTGAGATTCTGTGCATAACAAGCTTAGCTACATTATGCACATCTATAAATAAATAAACCAGTGCCACAAATGTATTGAAACCCAAACTGAAATTAGTTGGAGATCTCATTATGTTTAGTCAAATATAAAAAAGCACTGATGCCCGTAAACGATTCACAAACTTTTGTTAAATGACATGCAGATCATGCATCGCTGTGATGAATTACAAATCTTAAGCTGGAAATACAATTATAGGATCTAGAAACGACCATCTGTCATGTGATTGTGGTGATGAGTATCAAAGATGACAGCAGAGAGCAGAAAAAAAGGAGGGAAATTAAATCTTGGAATGAAATCGGTCTCGCTACGATCAAACACTGGAATCTTGTTAAAAATACAACAATATTATCTGCACAGATTACAATAATACTGTCACAATTATGGGAGGATGTGAAAGAGATGTGAACATCAAAGGCTTTTGCTCAACATCCCACTGGGGCTAATTAGGAGAATCTTGAAAAGTCATTTAACTCAAAATAATGAAAATAAGCAGTTAACCCAAATATCTAAAGAAGGAACTCCAAGCAGAGACACCAGCTCTATTACCCCTATTTTACCAATAAACACACTTTTTTTTTCTTTTTAATTACTGTTCTCTGTAGAAATAAACAATTGTGTGTATGCCTGGTACTCCAGAGGTCTGCAGTGGAAAGCTGCAATGATTCATATTTCTAGGTATTGGAAACACTGGATTTTTCTGAAGAATTTCATGCCCCAGCATGTTGTAGATATAAGAAGTTCACACACTCTGCTGCGCTGCCAGGAATGCTGACTAACAAACAGGTCCCAGTGATGACACAGCATTAAGAACTAGGAGTGAAAGTTACTTGAGCAGCAACAATCACTTGACACACAGTTTATTTATATACACTTACAATTCAACTGGTGTGAAATGTATCATGGGAGTCCAAAGTGAGAACCAAGGAGGGAAAGAGTTTGACAGTAGCAGATCTGTCCTCACTGTCCCTGTCCTCCACCCTTACATTTTCTACATATTTTCATTCAAAAACATAGTTGGCGGAACATTTCTGTAAATGGCAAAAACCCAAAACTCAGCTGTCCTAACAGGTATGGTTAGCAGCAGCAACAAACAAGAGTTTTAGGGAATTTCTTTAAGGATTATCAAGTGCATCCTTATGTAAAGCAATGGCACTGATAAGCCACATAATTCAATAGACCACTTTGTGTGTCCACCCTTATCAGAGCTGCTTGAGCCATCACTTCCAGTCACTTCTGTAAAGATGCAATTAATTCTAAAGCAGTAGCGTGAAATTAATTTATTGCTTGTAATTAGTTTTCGGCATACTGTGAAAACAATCTCTCCAGATAGGGGTGTTTTCACCCTCCACCAGAGAGTCTGAGGACACTTGGCTCAATCTGAGTTCAATATGGAGTGCCGTCTACAGCTGCCAAGAACGTGGAGCACAGAAACTTCTTAACCCCCTGTTGACTTTGGCCTCGGGATTTATAGTTTTAAATGACACGTGCAAGATATTTTAGTTGCTATCAATGCAAATGACAAAGTAATTTCTTCATGGTGTGCCTTGGGAAAGCACAAACCGGGTCATGTATATATGGAATTGAGGTTGGTTTTTGAATAATTTAACCGAAGAATATGTGTGTCTCTGCGTGCAACAGGCCTCATTCAAATTACTGCAATGCATTCAGGAAAGCAACAGCAATCATGCATTGTTTAAAAAGATTCTTGTGTCACTAATCATATACGATTCATGTCAAATACAAGACATCATTACTGCCAGTGCCACTAGGTGTCACACTTAGCTCTTTATCTGAGTGAAACATAGGCAGTGGAGGCGGCTGAAGGAGCATATTAATAGAAGGTGGCTGATTTCAGTCAAGACACTTTCCCTGTCTGTCACATGTGTAACCAAACACCTGAAATCACTTCAATTAAGCTGTGAAGTCACGACAGCCCAGTTAAAGTGAAGTGATGTGACAATTTGTGGTAGGAGCCTCGTCATGCTTTGATGTGGCATATGGCCCGACTGTACAGTTATCACATGCTTTTAAGTAACCTTCACTGATATTTGGTGTCACTTCTTCATCAAGATCAGGCTTCCCATTGCACCTCCATGCTCATTATATCTAAAGTGAAATAGCAGCTGACCACCACTTTTTTTTTTAGCATAGTGTTCTAATGCAGTGTGTGAAACCAGTGTAGTGTTGAGTGTAATGGTTTTACATTTTAAATTACATTTTTAATCATTCAAATATTTAACCTTCTCTGAAGGATTATTATATTTCACACTATTTTCATACAATTAAATCCCAGTTTAAAAAAAGATTGTTCTTTTGTATTTAAATGGGGTTGTAACCACACACAAGGTAACAAAGAGTGAAAGTTAATTTCAAAGGCAATTTTCTATGGACATTATGTGCTATTTCTGGTTACCACATCAACTATTACTTAAGAGAGAATGCAATTAGGAGAAAAAAGGTGAAATATTTTATATTACAAATTCATATGTGTGTGGGCAGTTGTACTGTCATCGTACCACCCACTCTTAAAGTACCATATGGCAGAATATACCTGCAGACTGTTTGTACATTAACTATGCTTAAATGAATTGTCACATTGTTTGTTTGAGGTATTGAGCTCTTTCCTGGAGTTGCTGTCCACATCTTTCACACTCAATTGAAATGTGCAGTTTACATATTAATTAGATAAATCTGTTTAGCAGCAGAAAGTCTTAGTGAGACATCTGGGTCTTAATTAGTCAAAAGGATTCAAGTGATAAACAGCCTAAAGAAAATGTGTATAAATTCCAAATTAACCCATTCAATTAAATCCATAATTATCACTCTGTAAAATAACCCCAAATCAAGTCTTTATATTCATTTATTTCTTATATCTCTGATATTTGTTTGATGCAGAATTTCTTTTTGATTTATTAACTCAATTAACTGCTCTCTAAAATCATGATTCTGTGGTGTGATGATTTTGAGTTGAGTTTTTCCACATTGACGTCCAATGATTATCTCATAGATCAGAGATATCATTGTATCTCCGAAAGGCTAATGAGTACAATGACCCTTGTAAACATTGAATAAATAAGTCATTATTCCCCCTGGATTTAAATGACAAATTCATGTGGATATGAGTGGGCTGAAGCCCTTTTTTTATCAGTCAGTGGACACAAGGACATGAGTGACGCAAATGTTAAAAGCATAGACGGGGAAATGAGAAGATAAACTTCCTGGTAAATTGTTTTGAAATTACAATTATTATTATTATTATTATTATTATTATTATTGTGTGTGTATAGTGTTGACCTCTTTTCCCTCCAAACAGTTAATGGAAAAAAACATATAGGAAAGTAACAAACATAGCAAGATGAAAGCTTGACTTTCATCTTATTTCTCCTAATGAGAACATCGGAAGACCAAGCTTCTACAGTCATCGAACTTGTGCCTCACTGTCAAGTGTCCACCGAAGCCAGCGGAAAATAAAAGCCTCAGACTCATTACTGATATATGAATGGCTGAGGTTGACCACTGCTGAGGCCATTCAACTCCACAGTCGCACCTCTGAACCGCATCAAAGACTGTGACATGTTTAGATGTGTGGTCGAGATATCTGCTTGCGTTTGTCTCTATTGAACAGAAGGGTATTGAAGTACAATAAACAGGAGGTCAGGGTGCAGCAGTACACATTAGCACACGCAGAAATCATAAAGTACGCCTCCCGTTCATTAGCGTTCATCCAGCTGAGGCTCACACTCTGGGTTAGGTGGTTAGGCTTTGAACAATGTTCTGAAAGAAATTCACAGCCTGTTTTGCTGGTGTGAAGTTGAAATCACTTCTGCAACTACTGTACAGCACTGCATAATATACTTATACAGTATGAAACAAAAAACAGACGCAAACTAAAAGATTACAGAGAATAGCTGCAATCTCAAAAGGACGTTGTTGCTAGAAAGCCTTTAAGAATAAAGAATGTTTGTTA